TCTCTCTCTCTCTCTCTCTCTCTCTCTCTCTCTCTCTCTCACACACACACACACACACACACACACATAAATTATCAACATTGAACTTGTATAGATGAATGAATCTTGTTTTGTGTTTAAATATTGATCACTGAAGAAAGTTGAGCTTCCAAAACCTCAAAATCAATTGACAATTAGGAGAGTGATCCAACTCTTTATTCTTAACTTTAGGATGTAGGACAATTCTTTTGTATCCTGAGAGGCACTCTAAAATCACCCTTAAACTGTCTTATACACTCATCATTTGTGAGGAGTACAGCGCGGGAGATGAGATTTGGAGTGCCAAAAGCATCGATGGATTAATGTAAGCTAAACTACGTATAAATGCAGGTACAATTCCTTAAGGTTATGGATCAAAAAGTGCTGAAAATGATTTGCGACTATGCGACGCCAGTGACGTTCCCTGAAGATAAAATCATATTTCAAAGTGGGCACCCACTTGATCGCATGCTCTTCATTCTAGAAGGCACCGTCTTCACCTACAGCACAACTTCTGACCCTGGTCGTACAGGGGCCTCCCCATCAATTGCCACCAAGCAATTTGGGAGAGGGCAGACTTATGGAGAAGAGCTTCTGATGTGGGCATCGCCCAACAAACCTAGGGTTGACAATGACAAGTTTCCTACCTCCACCGAAAATGTGAAATGTCATACAAAAGTAGAAGGCTTTGCTCTCTCAGCCAAGGACTTGAAAAGTGTAGCCTCCAAATGCCGACGCTGGTGGAACTTAAACAATGACCCTTGATTGATCTCCCACCTTCTACGCCCAACTCCACCGAAAAACAATCATCTGTTAAATGCTATACTTCTTGTACTATATTCATAAAGGTTGTATCCTTCTTATGTCTAAAATTACCTCGTAATGTTACTATGATGACCTAAAAAATGATTTATTATGCATACATTTGTATGCTCATACCTCTGAGACTGCATCTAAATCAATCTTATCACTACTACAAAAAACGAAATAGACGACGGGGATCTACCGTCGTTGTAATGCTTTGAAAACCGTCGTTAAATCGACCGCCATCTATTTGGGTGTCAAACTACGACGGCTTTTCACCGTCGTTGTTTATCTGCAAAGACGACGGTTTTTAAAGAAAATCGTCGTTGTTTAGAGGTAAAGATCGTTAATTATAGGATGAAAGACGACGGTTTTTAAAAACCGTCGTGTATTGTATGTAAAGATGACGGTTTTTTATGAAACTGTCATCTTTACATACAATAGACGACCATTTTTAAAAAAAAACAGTCATCTTTATTTCACAATAGACGACCCTTTTTAAAAAAAACAGTCATCTTTACATATAATAGATGACCATTTTTAAAAAAAAACGGTCATCTTTATATATAATAGACGACCATTTTTTTAAAAAAAACATCATCTTTACCTATAATAGACGACCTTTTTTATAAAAACCGTCGTCTAATAAGTTCCCAAATTGCTACATTTTAGTTCTTTTTTATTTCCTATGATGCTATACAATGATTTTAAATAGAAAACCAACCATAATGCTTTATTAATGAATATATACACTCAAAAATAGTTTCTTTCATAAAACTTGAAGATTCAATAGTTATTACATA